ATAATAAGATACATTGAAATACAATAGAACATAATAAATTACCAATAAATACAGAAATACAAAAAATACACTGAGATACAATAATATAAAATTAAAATTAACAGTATAAAATAAGTAAATAAAGAATATAGGAGGAGGAAAGAGAAGGAAGAGGAAGTTGCCCTGGTACAGAAATGCCATAAAGGAAAGTCTTTACCTCTGCTTGATTGGTCTCTAGTTCTCCACCACCTTCTTTTGCCTCCAGTATTATTCTACGTGAAGTTGTATAACTGGGCACATCTCTGGGTGTAACAAAGAGGCAGTGCGGTGTAGTGGTTAAGAGTGCAGGACTGAGACTCGGGTGATCTGGGTTCTAGTCCGTGCTTAGCCATGGAGCCAACAAAACTGGGCCAGTCATGGACTCTCAGTCTGATCTACCTCACAGGATTGTTGTGGGAATAAAGATTGAGAGCAGGAGAATGATGTAAGCCACTTTGAGTGTGTAAGAAAAAGGTGAGATATAAGTCAAAGAAACAAACATACAAACAATGTCCCAGTGTAAATCAAATGCCATCAAAATACCACATCAAAACTGGAAGGCTACATCAAGAAGTCTTTGTCTTTAACTTATTTCAAGGTTTCATTGAAGGCATGTTATCGGAGGTTCAGCCTTCCCTAACAAAGCCAGGGTTTTAAAAACTCTCTTGTGGGTGATTTTGCTGTTCATTGTTGTCACCATCAGTTATCGATTGATGGTTATAAAACTAAGATTATAATTCTCCCTAAACAAGGAGAATTGTTCAATGTATAATGTACATTGGTAGGTTTTTGTATAGCCTGAAGTGCCCGATCCTGCCCAGTCTTGGCAGCTAAGCAGCCTGGTTGAAATCTGGATGGGAGACTTAAATGTTGTGAATTACTCAGAATGCTTTGAGTGCAGATGGTATAGAAATGTACGGTAAGAATAATAAAGCAGAGCTCAAGGTTTTAAGTATTCAGGCATCTATTTTAAATCACTGCTTGCCTGATCCTTACAAAGAAAGCTGACAGGAAGAAAATGGATGTATTTGAAACATGCTGCTAGAGGATTGCTTGTCAAATACCCTGGACCAGCAGAAAGACCAACCAGTAGGTCCTAGTTCAAATCAAGCCAGAGCTTTTCCTGGGAGCAGAAATGAGGCAACTGAGGTGGTCGTACTTAGAGTGCATCATGAGAAGGCAAGACTCCCCTGAAAAGACCGTCATGCCAGGGGAAGTGGAAGGCAGAGGAGGAAAAGGCTTGCCAAACAAGAGATGGATTGACTGCGTGCAGGAAGCCACAACCTTGAATGGAGCAGGCATTTGTAGGAGGTTGGAACCTGAATTAAAGATGCTGGATCACCAGCGTCGGCAGCCCCTTTCCAGTGCATTCTTGATCTTCCTAAATATGCTGAGGCTTTAGCTCTTCATGGGGTTGGAGTTGGACCAGTGGGGTATAGGGCCTGGCACACTGGCTTGAAGCTTTAGGTTTTGAGGTATACAGGTGTATAGTGAAATGGTATATATGATAGAAACACAGAAACAGATTGAGTCAGAAAGAATCTCCTGGGCCATCTAGTCTGACCCCCGGCTCCAGCCAGCTCCACTCATGACATGATATCGAAAATATAGTTATTATAATAGGGGCTTAGGAGTGTTTATGGTAATGTAAAAACTTAGTGAAGGTTATTTTGGATATTACGTGGTTATTTGTAAATAATTATGGAGAATAACCCAAGTAGGGCCAATTTGAATGAAATGTATTATAGTAATTTATTTTCTGAATGGCGATTACTGCAGATAAAGAATTTGTATAGCTAGACCATACGGTTCAGTTTCTCCTTCAGGTACCTGGATATATTGTTCTTTGTTTCTATATTTGTGATTGATTCCTGATAAAATATAAAATGATAATTCATTAAACAGCTTGTTCCCTGCTACTTGAATATGAAATGTGGATATGAATCTGCATTATGGGATTAAAGCAGAAAAATATTTAGAATTTTATATCTTCCAACATGTAGGCATGCCTTAACGTTAACTGGGTTCAGTGTTTTACTTTCTCTGTTCCTGGAGGGGTGATTTCAGAAAATTTCTTGAATGTTTATGTCCTTCTGAAATTAGAGTGGCTGATTCACTTATGTGATTCATTATACTGCCCACTTTATCCAGATATCAGATCAAAATTAATGAAGGAAATCTTTGAATGAGATAATTGGGCATTTTATTTCTGTAAATAACAGATTGAGTGTTTTGCAATAAACATTTGTAAACATAATATGAATACAAATGAAGAAACACAAATGTAATGTTTTAAAGTTAGCTGTCGTTGTATCTGTTTTGCTCCATGACATGATAAATCTTCAGACTGGTACAAAGATTCTTCAATCCATTTAAATTCCACTTTCAGTCTCTTTTGAATCAAGAAAGCAGTTAACATATTACTGATAATAACCCCTTTTGAGTTTGAGAAGGTAAAGGGTAAAGTCTAATGATCAATGCAATAAATTGTGTAAGAGGTCTCTAAAAACACCACTAGAGCTTTGCACTACTCATAGAAACACAGAAACAGAGCGAGTCAGAAGGGGTCTCCCGGGCCATCTAGTCTGACCCCTGGTTCCAGCTGGCTCCCCTCACGACATGCCCACCATGGGCATGTCCAGCCTCTCCTTGAACACCCTCACTGATGGGGCCTCAACCACCTCCCGTGGAAGCCCATTCCACACCCTCGGGGTCCTAACTGTCAGGAAGTACTTGATGAGACAGGGCAGATGGAAAAATCTGAGAACTTGATGTACAGCCTGGAGGGATTTTGTGGGTTGGGAGAGGAACCGGGGCAGGCACTGGTAATCGCTTGTAAACGTTTGGAGTTCATGGGCTTTTCAATCCTGAAAATGAGTCAAATACAGTTTTAATGGTTGGAGCAGTAAAATGCTGGTTGCCAGCCTTCCTGTGAAAACTGTAAGCACCAGATAAGCTGCTTATGTCTCTGGATTTGTCCCTTCAGTACCATTAATGCTTTAATGGGGACCACTGTGGCACAGGGGTTAGGATGTTGGACTGGGACGCAGGAAATCCAGCTTCCAGTCTCCATTCAGCCCTGGCACTTGTGGGTGGCTTAGGGCTAGCCATCGTCTTTCAGTCTAATCTACTTCATAGGTTTGGTTTAGCTACACCTGACGAAGATCAAAATGCTAGATGATCAGCTTTATAAATTAAGGACAGTCCAGCCAGTTCACTGCATCACAGACAAAAGCAAGACGTACTTAATGCGATTTGGGGGCGCAGTACAGCCTGGACATGTGTAAGATTGCGTAACTTTATTTTAACGAGGAGCTGGAAAACAGGTCATGAAGGCCTGTGTTTATTTCAGTTTTAAGGGCACACATAAAAAACTAACCCTGTGCATTCAGTTCCTACAAAACATTGGTTTTTGATTTTCATTTTGAAAGCAAACACTGTCATTCATTTGTGCCAAATGTGTGACCGGCCAAGTAAGTCTTTTAAAATACTTCATTTGGGTTGGCTTATATCCTGAGATTTGAGAAATAAAGGAAAAAGAGCGAAGTGGTGGGAAAACACTGGGGCCCAACCTATGAAAGACCTGCTGTCTGGACTCCGTGTAAAATTCAATGAACAAGGCAGGGCAATTACGCAGAAAAAACCTTGTCTGGAAGCTCACAGGATGGGAAGGGAGTTGTCCACATTCGTCACTCCTCCGTTGGCATCACTGGCGATGTATAAGTGTTTCGTTTTGGCCACTTTGGAAACGAAGCAGGATTGGCTGGGGTTTCTTTAATCTCAACATTTATCCCAAAATGCTGACCTTTTCAGTTCACAATTTATTTCCGCTTATTCTAAACATAGCCTCTGATACAGAAGCAATCTTTACGAATAGTGAATAGACGGCAGTGCTGTGAGTGTGTTTTACTGACACCTTGGTGAGGAGTTGGTTCAGATGGATTAAAAGCCATGCCTTCTTCACTAAGAATTCTGGAATCCATCATTTTGTGAGTGGATTTAGGAGTTTTTAACAAAATTCTCTGCTACACACCAATGGATAATTCTTTGGCAGAAGCCACCATAATTAAACTGGTATAAAGACAATGTCAGCATCTCTTTGGATATACACTCCTGTTCTTATCTTAGCAGTGCTGACCTGTATTCTCACAGCCTGTGGAAAATGCTCTCTTTCCATCGTAATAGACATACAGGCTCAAAACAAGGGCGACTGTCATTTAGGAAAGACAGAAACATACAGAATTAGTGATTTCCAAAGGACTGATAAGTGAGGGTAGCAGGTTTTGTCAGTGTTGACCTAGGCTCGGGGCAGGCAATGCCGTTTCTAGAACGTTGGGTGAGGTGACTCTC